TACACTGCCTGCGCCTACCTTCATACAAACAAGTTTTATAATTTCACTAGCTTTCTTAGCTTTACTGAAACCATCCTTGAGTCGTTTGTTCTTCTCCAGACCTGAGAAGAGTACAGTACTCAAGGGCAATTAATCTATTCAGCTGACAAACAAAACAAGGACAGTCCATTTCTAAAGGGTTTCGACGAAGGTGTATTGTAGTCGGAATCCTTGAGTTTCTGGACTTTGTCCATCGTTTCATATTCGTTTCGGAAAGTGGATCTGTTTCCGTTCTCAGGTGAAGAGGTGACAAGACTCTTTGGGTACGACAGAAAGCGCTCCTTTCATTCACGGGAGCAGTGGTTATGGGTGTTGCCAAATGAATTAAAAGGCTGTCCCTATGCTTAACTAATTAAGCATTACATCATGGAGGCGTATGGGGGAGTGGATGTATTGACCCACATTTTCTTGACCTTGCCACTCTTTGGAGGTGAGTGAATTATGAAGTGAAATTAAGACCTCATCCCGTATATTTCGAGACGTGCCTAAAATGATTATTTCACGATAAAGAAAAATACATTTATAAACGATTAAGCTGTTTTGAGAATTTCATAGTAGTAGAAATGTGCATGTATGTGCCTGGAGGGGGGGGGGGTCAATCGACATTTTCACAGGGTGGAAAACATTGCGAATCCTACCATGAGTACAGATTATTCTTTCTCGTACAATGTGGGGAAGCATAACTAAAGGTTCGGCCACACAGAGAGCTACGCTATGTTCGCTACTTGCGCTACGTACGCTTTGTACACTCTGCGACGCAGCTAACATAGGGAACATAGCGTACGTAGCGTACGGAAGTCTGTGTGGCCAGTCACATTGGCAATAAAGGGAAATATTTTTCTGTTCGTATAGCGAACATAGCGTACGTAGCGCTCTGTGTGGCCGAACCTTCGGGAGAGCTGCGCTGTCTCGCGTGCCGTGTACACGCTTCAGTAGAAGAAATGGCGGTGGTGTTTTGTATGAACCGGAATGAGATTGCGTTTGGCTAAACAAACCTGTAAATGCAAATAGGCTCGTGTCGAGAGTCCAGAAGTGACTGAATAATGGGCTTGCAGCCACTTCCTTTGCCAGGATTTTTACAGTGGTGTTAATTGTATGAAGTGTTCCTGACAGTGCCACATTTCTCCGGAATCTCACGCGATTTGACTGCCCTGACCCCTCGCCGAAGGCGCTGTATACAATACAGATTGCTTCACGACTGTAATGGGCGCACGAGATTTCTTTAAAATAAAGTGTAGTACAATGAAGACAGAGCAAGGTTCAAGGTACGCGCAACCTCCAACGAAAAAAAAAAAAAGAAAACTATACAAATAAAAACTAGAGACTGGGAGGACAGGGTAAATTAGAATCTAATTTATGAAAATTGGAGCTCCAGTTTATTTGATAAATTCGTAACAGAAGAACTGAGCAGGTTACTTGAGTGGAACGCGCTGGACATGTATTCGGGAAGTGCTCGGTTGGAAACTCGGCCGAGACACCGGTTATCCTGAGTCATTGTTTTCCCCAGTCCCTCCAGACAAATGTAGAGACAGTATCCCGATTAGGAAACAACCGCTTCCTTCCAAATTCCTTTCTATTCACAGCTAACCAATTATCCTATCATTCGTCGCTATATACTCTGACGTACTGACATCATAAAGTAAACCAAAGAATATAACAGAAGTAGCTATCACATCTTGTTCGACGTGCTTGGTCCAGAAGTTATCATTTTGACCGACGGATGACCTTATATTTGTAGTCTTTGGTACAGAGGAATAAAATAAGGCAATGTGGCGATAAAATTAATTAGCACATGTCCATAACGTGATTCTGATACGTCAAAAACAAATTAAGGGGAGGTGGTGTTATAGTTTGCGTAAAAACATATAATTTTGTTAATGAAAAATTTTGTCGTCTGGGACATAAAGCCGTGCAGTCAAAAGTCAAGCGATGTTACGGAGGAATATTTCGCCTCAATCTTCGGGGTAGGAGAACAAGCCAAGCAAGAAACCAGAATGAATCAGGCTCTGCTTACCATCTGCTTCTTGCTGGTTTCTTGCATGGCTTATTCTTCAACTCTGAAGCAGGTAGTAAGCAGAGCTTGCTTCATGCTGGCTTACTCTACGACCCTGAAGAAGGAGGCAAAATGTTCCTCCGGAACGTCGATTGACTATCGAAGAACAACACGGCGTTCTCTCCCAGAAGATAGAAATATTAATAAACACGGCTGTGAGAACCTCAAATCCTACAAATTTGTAAACGTTCTTATTATTTTTTTTTTGGCAGTCACCGATCTGCTTTATGATAATACAGCGTTCTCTTATACTCACGCCCCATAACATGGCATTAAAAGCCGATATAATTAAATATGAAGTGGCAGCTGGCGGTACTCCCCCCTTTTCAGTTATACATCTTGTAGCGAAAATAGGATATTTTATAATTCCAGGGCTTCGATGGAACTTTTCTACAGAGTAGAGAAATTTCTGCAGTGGCAGCACTGTTCACTGGTGTTGTTTTGCCCTTTTTTCCCTTCCAAGGACAATATTTTCCCTTTTCGTTCATTTTCTCGTAGCTTGGTTTTCTATAGACACGGGTACCTTCTCCTCAGATATTATGTAAGTGTACTTGTAAAAATACACTCCAGTTTAAGTGAACTATATAGAAAACCTCAATGCATTTGGTGTGTCAGATTTCAGTAATCTTGCAAGAATATGCTGGCACTGCTTGGTAACGTCATGAAGAAGCAGTGCATAATAATATGGCGCACTCAACAGAACTGCGTGTGATTCTGGCGAAACGATTTTACCAGACGAATAGTGTTATCACGATTCAGCTTAAATTCCCAGTAAGACTGGAGTGCAGGAAAGCACCAACGGGGTCTGGAATAAACAGACTACGTGTAGGTGACAAGTCTGAAGCGACTGGGGGAGCGATGGAGAGTAGGAAAGGTATATATCGGCAGGCCTTCTCCTGTTACAGGGATAGCTTTACCTTAGAAAAATGAACCTTAATGAATATTGCTGATATAAGGCTTACCGACTCCGATCATCAATGTTATTTGATTTAATGACAAGATATTTCATCAAATGTTACAAATGAATATGTCATGTTTCTGTTTTCGAGTTCCTGGGTTAGAATCTTCGCTCTAGAGGCTGGCTATTCTAAGATACTGTAACGTGCTATCTTACGGTCATCGCGTAGCAACGGCTACAATACGAAGTTAACAGCCTACAATGAGTCTCCACGGTTACGACGAAAACACGGAGATTTCCCACAGAGACAACGCAATAACAGTGGGCCGTTGCCTGGAGCAAACAAACGCGTTTCCTAGGAGATGAAAGCTAACGAATTGTTCGAAGCGTTGCATGACAACAGAAGGTTCATTGCATAGCAACCGCCGAGGTTATAAAAGCCCAGCTTCGACAAGCCCTCTCGTCAGAGAGGGCGCCCCACAAAAACAAGACCGTAACTGTTAAAGGTAATAAATATCTGGTTATGAGCCCCAAATAGGGCTCAACACCAAGACTCACTGACTGACTGACCGTCAGTCGCAATGTGACTTTGACTCTAACTTTGACTTTGAGACGAGTTAGTATTGGGATAGCCGTCGCCGAAGATAGATGAGATCCAGCCACGGCCAAGGACAGTATAAGCACTGGAGTATTGGGCCAGAAGTCAAGTGACACTGCAAGTGACAATAATTGTAAAGCTTGTGAGTGTATAAGTGGAGCACAATAAAGATTCGCTAAATCCCAGACCCACGTGAATTTATTTATCGCTATGGGATAAGCGGCCTCCGTAGTCTAGGGGTAACGTTCCCACCTCATGACTCAAGGTACGCGGGTTCAAACCCGGCGGAGGTCGTGGAATTTTTAAGGGCGGAAAAATTCAGGGAACAAGTCCTCCGGGAGGGACTTTAAGCCGTGTGTCCCGTGTCGTAGATTTACGGCACATAACAGAACCTCATGTCTCTAGGAGACCTCTGAGCTAAATTACAGGCCCTTTCCCGCCCAAGTAGTCTCCAATGCCTCTGGTGGATGGGGGAAGCATCAAGGTACCGAGGGCCGACCTCGTTGGCTCTACGGGGGCTGATGACACGCACCGTTACCGTTACAGTAGAAATTAAAGGGGGATGCATAATGGACCAATAACTGGTCTAAGTGCATGGGGAAACCCACCCCCTCTCATAATACGAATACGAAATAGTTTAATGTTATGATTCTACCCTGCAATCTGGTGAAGAGAGATGAACATATACTTAACTTTGTTATGCAACTTATATAGTTGAAGAAGAATCATTAATTAACCATAGAATCAATCAATCAATCAATAACAGTTTCGCTTAATCATGTTTTCCTAAAACAGATCTTCTATCAAGAGATTAATAATTGCAATGAACCGTTTCCAGTCGCCAACAACAAATTCCAGCTAATGATACACACGTAATACAAGGAAAAACGAATTTCAGGAAGCTGACGAGAATACCATAATATCCTATGCCAATTTCATTAAAAGTGGTTAAAGAGAATTTTAAAGCTATTCCAATCAGCAGAGTATTGCAAGGTTTCTAAATTATGGATTTTAAAGTAATTCTCTTAATACCCATTCTGAATCTCATGGAAGTTCTAGCAAATTTGGTCATTAATTAGACTAGGTTAGTGGAACATATCAGGGTAAATAAACCCGTTAAGCGATTCCCTCATAGGAATGCTGGAAGGTACCATTATGAAAAGCCACAACTAAGTAATCGGTACTAGAAGACCCAAGAATCAACACATTAATGTTTGATTTCTTTACGTCTATGAAAATTGTGGCTGTGTCCTCTATACCTACGGGTTTCTGCCCTAAATATAAGGCTAACTGTGGAAATCAAATCTTGTAAGTTAAAAATATCAGTAATATACCGACGAGAATGAATCTTGATTTGAATTATTTTTATTGTATCAATAATTCCTTGCGTATACAACATGTACCAGTTTCAGAAAGTACAATACTTCGCTTCCTGGCAATACAGATGTTGACACCCTTTCATACGGATACAAATTTTTCCTTAAAAATCGAGGAAACCTGAAATAACAAACTCATATTAGTTGTTTATTCAGTATTTCACAACGGGTATGCCGCGACATTCTCAACTGAAACGCGATTGTGCACATTTGATACCATTTCATAAAGCGTGGTACTAACAGTTCAGCCCTGTTTCGTCATCTCAAAGGGCGTATGAACTGTTTCTTTGTTAAGTGGTTGCCGCCTCAATATGATATTTATTTATAATTGTTGCATAGCGCAGTTTGGCCAGTCTGTATTTTGGAACTAACAAATTCCTGCTGCAGGGGCAGGAACCGGCGGTTCGAGGGCCATATATAGTCTACGGGTTAACTTTGTAAAGTCTATCTAGGAATTTCGATAAAGCAAGACTGCAAAAGTACAGAGACGCAAACCATGTAACAAAAATGAAATTGGATTCTACGTTCAAACAAACAAATGTAAGACTAATTATATCAGACGAAATATAGTAGTTATGTTTATATACAAAATGTAATTATATACCTAAAAAAGTAAAGGTATCCCTGTAACAGGCCTTGAAGGCCCATAGGGTTGTGAGATGTTGAGGTTCCCAAATTTTCTCTAGACAATCGGCTCATAGATGGCGGTAAGGTTGTCAGCCCTACGCGCCGTCTGCTCTTTAACCCCTGAAACATTCCAAGAATATTTCTGATACTCATTTCTGTTGGAGACTGAGTCGAGCCCGGGGCCATAGTGCGGCTGGAAGGATTAGGTCAATTGAAAAAAATCCAATGACCTCATCAGGACTTGAACCCGCGACCTTCCGGTTTGTAGCATAGTGCCTCAACCAACTACGCTACCGCGTGCCCCCCATGAACTCTTTTTATTCCTTATTTAGCTTAATTATAACGATTGAATTCCGTAGTGTTAAGCATATATAAAACATATATTATGTGCTCTTCACTAGTCGTTGCATGGTAACGGATCCCAACAATGTCCTCTTCTCACGTCGCTGCCGGCCTCTGACCATCTCTCAATTAACTCATGGTCGAAGGTAACTCATGACGCTGACTGTCTTTCAACTGACTACTAGAGAGAGATAGTCAGAGTTAATTTACGACTGGCGGTTTACCGCCCATCGGTTCGTCTTGATGCCAAGCTTCTTGTGGCTCACGACAACAGTCTTTTTATAACTGAAACTTTACGGTCATAGTCCTTATGAAACATCTTCTTAGAAGCAAGGAATGCTTGTTCATTTGGCTGTTGCTTAGCAGCGGACAATTTCTTCTGCCTCCATTATTTCATCTTCCAGCCCTTATGTCACAATATATGGGGCATATTACGTTGAACTCTGAGGAATGAATCTGCGTTCCTTTAGAAATTTGCAGCACAAAGATAAAGCATGGCGGTTACAATATATATTCTAGGTTTAAGATATTGTCAAAGTAGTCGTGTAATTACTTACTGCTGTCGACAATCACTTGAACTGCAGAAGATCACTTTGTGTGTAGTGTCAAATATAATGCTCATTTTTCCGTCTTCCTTTCGTTTCCTTCTGCAGAATTCCACAAAAATTGACTTTATTTTCCAGACACCATTACCACATATGGGTAAATGTATATCTCATTTATGTAACATATATATTCCTTTAGATGTGTCTAATTTATTGTGAATAGCACACTCTACAGGCCAATCTGGATCACCTCGTAAATATAAAATGCCTTATGGATACAAACACACTGCTCCTCACAATTGAAACGTATTAATTATACAACTAGTAATATATCTTGATGTCATTAACTTAATTTTTAATTAATTAAAAGTTTTTTCTTTGGCCATAATTTTAAGACATAAGATCCTTATAGAGACATAATTTATTACGAATATGTAAAGTGTTTCCACTGTTGATGAAACCTCTGATGGTGGTAAAGTCAGGCCGAACTATGTAAGGTATTTTGTGTATTCACAATAAATTAGTCACATATGAAGGAATACATACTTTTACATACATATTATATAAACTGTGACAGAACAAGATGCGTGTAGTTAAGGTGCATTGCATTTCATATGATTACAGATTTCCTAGGGTAAGAGAAGCAGACGTGGAGGTAAGAAAGCAGAACTGGCCTCCTATCAGATATTTTCCCGAAATTTGCTTTAAGTCATTATGCAAAAATTCCAAAATCTTAATTAAGATAGTTTAGAACAGTATTTTTAACCAGGGCTACCACTGATAATCAGGCGCCCTACAGCTCCAATGACCAATTCAGGAACTGTTTAGCAATGCCTTTATTATTTCTACAGGCTTATCAAACAACCAAGAGGCTGGAATAGAGCAACATTCTTCAAATAATATATTTTTATTACATAAGCAAGTTTGTTTTCATGTTCGGCCCTTGCTTCTTTGTGCAGGTCAGAAACGAAGGCATGGAATCAGTTTCTATTTTACAGCTGGAAACCTGAACAAGTAAGAGAATTTAATTCACAGACTATCCTTAGCCTTGTTATTCTGACCTCTGTACAATATATCGGGCCTTTAGCTTAACCATCACCAATTATCTGCTCACTTCCCTGTACAGGTATCCCTAAAATCAAGAGATAGTTGTGTTCCAGAAAACAAAATGTCGCAGGTGGTGAAGTCGCGTACATCGAATATATTTTTCCTTCTCCCCCTCTCATTCCTCCTCCGTAAACCCACACAATAACCCATTCTCCTCTCCCCGCCGCCCTGGAACAGTTATCATTCGCATTAAAGCGAGCGCTGTTAATTGAAATCAGTCTAAATGAGCTGTCCACATTAAGATGAAAAGGCATTTGCGAAATCGCGTACGAGGAATGGCTGTACCCTTTTCCCGTGCGCATCCGAAGGCCTGGTTACATGACAAGATGCAATTACTAGTATTGCAGTTTATTTTTTATCTCTTCAAGTGTATTAGCCATTGCACAATCGCAGCCATGATTCATCACCGTAACTAGACGGCAATCCTAACAGGGTCCCCATCACGTGGTCACTGCTTCCGGTTGTGCAAGGCCGTACAATTGAAAACGCTGTCTGTTATTTACTCTTCCTATTTGTATCAACATTACGAAAGGGAGAGAAAGAATTAGTACAGTATTAGCTTAACTTGAAACTCGCGTTCAAACATTGAATACGCTGATATAATCGATATGGCGCTTCCATTTTTTTCACCAAGGTTTTAATTCTTTATTGAATAATAGTAATAATAATAATTCAATTAAGTTTAATTCTTTATTATTTATGTGCCGAGTCAACAGCCGCAAGGCCAATTACAGACAGAGCACAGTGTAGATACAAGTAATTACATTATGGACAATGGACAAACACAACGTAAAGTCAAAGACAAATTACAGGCAAATACTGGGATAATTCAATTCAATTCAGTTCATGTTTATTTACGTGCAATAATAATAACAATAACAATACTACTACTACTACTACTACTAATAATAATAATAATAATAATTGGACACTTTAATATGGCTCTCCAGTGACAATGCGTCCAGAAGAGAATGATCAATATGAAATTGTACGTCATAAACGGAAAATGGCATTATGCGTTTCAGAAATTGTCCCCATTTTGACTCTATTTCCAGTAGAATGAGAGAGCCCGCTTAGAATAGACATTTTCGGGACACGATAAGTTCTGACTGTAATGACACTAAGAATGATATTAAAATGTAAATGACAAATTATATTTCATTTCAGAACGAGGAATCTGAAAGTGCAGGGGCATAAAACGTAATTTAACTCACCATTAACGGCGACGTTGTACCTCACAGAAATTATACGTAATACAAACGAAGTGATGACTCACACGCACGACCAATTTATTCGTCAGCTGTCCAAGTTCTGCTCACAAACTGACTGTACTTCGACACGCAGATCACTGCAATCGTGTAATTGCCGGCTGGGAATGAGGTGGCTTTCAATATATGCTGCAGAATATTGTTAAACCTGACCTATAAATGAAAAACTCAGGGCCCTAATCTCTGCCACTCCCATTCGTAGTAAACACCAATACGAGTATAAACCGTTCGTTTGGGTTCAACATACTGCAGAGTCTAACCTGGCCCTGTAATCTCCCGTGAATGATATCTGCGTCCCTTACTGTCAATGGTACCTGAAACATCCACCTATGTTTGCAATACCGACGTCATGCGGCAGGCACAAAATAAGACGCTGAATCGTGCTTCATGGAAGAGATCGTCGACCATGTCCATGCCTTCATACCCGTATGCATGCGTCAAACGCAACAGCTGCAGATGTTGACCGAATAAGTGTACCGGTATGAGATTTGTGGTTATTATGGCGGTGAATATTAATATTAAGGTCTTGTGGGACGTACGGTCGTGTATCTAGATAGACAGGTATCAATCTTTCGAAGGAAACACATGCTTACATCTTCAGGAAGAATATGTTCTTAACCGAATAAATCAATGAAAGGTTGTTAAAGTAAAATGCGGCTTCAGTTGGAAAATCATAAATATGATTAATATAAATATTTATAGATCTATAGGCATTTCGAGCGTTTTGAGTTCTAAGACCGGAATAGGGGAAGTAAGAGATATGATGTGATGTGAAAATCGTGATCATAAAACTAGACGGTCGGTAAAGAGCGCAAAAAATTAAAAGAAAATTCTTTAGTAATGATACATATGTAATAAAGGATATTTTGTTTATTGCAGTATCATAATGGTTGTCGGGGCATGCGGTGGCGTAGTTCGGTTTAGGCATTATGCTACAAGCCAGAAGGTCGCGGGTTCGATTCCCGATGAGGTCATCGGAATTTTCTATTTACCTAATCCTTCCAGCCGCATTATAGGCTCTGGGGTCGACTCAGCCTCTAACAGAAATGAGTACCAGGAATCTTCCTGGGGGTAAAGGGCAGCCGGCGCGTAAGGCTGACCTCACCGCCATCTGTGGTCCGATTGTCTAGAAGATGTGGGAGCCTCAACCTCTCACAAACCTATGGGCCTCCACGGCCTGTTACAGGGAGAAGTTTACCTTTTACCTTTATCATAAAGGTTGATATGGGATAGGAACTACAGTTGTTGTTTCAGCTCGGCTATCGTTTCCGAAATGCAAGTGTTCCGAAAGAATCCTGAAACGGGTACGAAGGTATTTCTTCGATGTTAATTTATCGCTGTATAAGGCATGGAGATAAACCTCCGGATATTTCGGACTAGGCATTAGCCGGAAGTGAGTAATTAGCTTTATTCCGAAAATTCCCTGCACCTATGGAATGCACATCCGACACTCAGCAAAATGAAATGAGTCCCAGCAAATATAGGGCAGTGTTGGGTCTCTTTCATTCAACTTTCTTGGTTGTCGCGTGACAGTGATGTAACTACAGTCTGATTACTGGTATTGCTATTTTGAGGATACTGTATTTATATTTTACAGGACCCAGGATACCTCAGTCGGTATAGCGTCTGGCTACGGTCTGGATGATCGACGGGTCGGAGTTCGAGTCTCGGTAGGATAAAAAATTGTCTGTTCTCCACGTCGTTCAGGCTGGCTCTGGGATCCACCCAGTCCTTTATCCAGTGGGTATAGCGGGGGCTCTTTCCCCGGGAGTAAAGCGGCCGGGGCGTGAACCTGGCCACTCCCCTCCAACTAATGCCGAGGTCAAGAAAATATGGATCTATACATCAATTCCCCTATACGCCTTCATGGCGTAGTGCTTAATGAGTTAAACACAGGGACAATTTCACCTCACACTATATTACAGGGTATGTTGCTATTGAGGCAAGGCTCGCTACATGAAAAGTGCATCTGAAATTAAATTCAGTGCTGGGTTAGTACCTGCCTCAAGATGTGAGTTGTTACATAATGGCTGTCTCCTACAATTACTCGCTGGGGTGTTTGCCGGGAGATGTTACTCGCGTCGCCTCCTTTTTTACGTTCTATATACGCTGTACCTTGAGCAGTAGATTTTGGATTTTATCTTTTTTCAGCTTGTTCGTTCACATACGGTATTTACTAGCTGGTACAGACGGTATGACGTACAGATTGTCCAGCATATTATTATTATTATTATAGCCTTCTTATTGTTGACTTTTCACATAATATAGGAATGAATTATTATTATCATCATAAATTTAAGATTTGTTAAATTCCCTTCACATATTTTAAGATCCAAATATTAAATTATTAAGAGGGATAGATTTTAGCCGTTTTTTGTAAGGCTGTGAAACTTGATTTCTTATCCTGAGGGAAGAACATTCTGTCTGATACCCGGGAGAAGAGCTATGGAATTCATTGTTAATAACGAAGTGAATTCTTATTTACAGTTAATTAACACAATTGTATGATACTGTACTATTAGGTAATCAGATCTTGTCAAAGTTCCCATGCTTTCTGCTCCTTATCAGTAGCAAGTGGGGTTCAAGAACGTAACCGCAACACAGCATAAGCAAGCATTTGTCCCTGAGTTCTCTGCGGATAGCTACGTCTGATTATTCTTGCTGGTAACCCATACACAGCTCACCCTATTCCTCCACCTCGTGATCTGCGCCACCGGGACGCAAAGCCGACACATGAAAAGTAGATAAAGAGAGGAAGAGCTCTGTGTTATGACATGAAATATTAAACATTCACAAAAGTAATTCTTTAAATCCGGATATCATATTTTCCTTACTGAATGCTGGGAAGTCCGGTCTAGAATATCGAAATTAACAACCGTGGGGATTCGTTGCGCTGACCACGCGACACCCTCTATCCCCTAAAGTTGGCACTAGCTTCGACAAATGGCGGTCGCTCAGTCGGTATCGTTCGCTTGCGGACTAAAGCCACGGATTTTGTTTTGAATGTCGGGAAAAGTCCTGCAGTTAGCAACCAGCACGTACTCCTTCCTTCCTTTCTTCCTTCAGCAGAGTTCACGAATTTCATATTCGTACTACCGAAAGCTGCTTCTTGGCGTAAATAATGCCAAAAATACGCATTACTTCACCTTATCTGGTTTCATAGAAATTTCAAAACGCACATCGTTTACTAGGAATCGAGACCATTAAATTAAATGATAAATTCTTCGCGCTGATGACCACAGATTTACTTAGGCATATTCTGTAAGTCACGTTCCTTCCATGCGAACCGGACAAAGGAATAATACACTATGGCTTAGTCATCACAGAATGACACTGGTGTGAATGCATGCTTTCCACACCTCAGTACCGATTTGTCAAGACAGTTTGTGTAACGAGNAGACCGTGAGAACCGGTAAAAGGTTCTCACGGTCTCTTTGCTTGCAGATTTATTTTATATATGACACACAACAGGATGCATACTATTAAGATTGTAAATATACAGCGTTGCAAAGAAGATGGTCATTCGGATCCAAGGGAAGAGGCTCGGACGACCGCAAGGCTTCTGTCATTATAAGACAATACAGAAAACACGCGGAAACATTCATGTAACCTGCTGGTTTAGATCCCACGATCCAAGCATGCGTCTGGCTTAAAGCGCTGCCAGCAGGCTTGGCTATTTCAGCTTCAGGAAATTGTGTGCACGTGTATAGCCTTCCAGCTGCATACGCGGTCAATGTCAATGTCAAAAAAACAAGCTGCAACCAACCGTAACAATAATGCCATCACTTTTTTATTATGCACAGATGTCCCGGCATATAAATGCATCCGTTATTGAAGTCATTATTAGGAAATGTGTCTTTGCTCAAGGATACGTACGTTTCTGTGCGGAAAGGTCCCCACCAAACAGAGCGCCACTTCAGCGCATTCTGCTCGCGTGACACGGGAATCCCCTGTTACAGACTTGTCATGCATGTCAGATACCAATTGAAGTAAAGGTAGACTTGTCAGTGTGCTTTCTTCAGCACAGCACAGAGAACATAAATGCGGGATTGGAAGTAAAGTTCCGCCCATTCTTAACCTCACGCTCTGATCGATTTACCTCCTTTACCCATTGGTGGTCCCCAGATCTTGTCCGCTTATGGCGGCGGAGAGCAAAATGTGTGGCCCTTCCAGCAGCAAAATTTCCATTGCCCTTTAGCTCGTACTCAAATGCTATACTGACGAAGCTATCCCAGTAAAATGAAGAGAACGTCGTCATTACAACCAGTGATTCTATTTTCTTAGCTTCCGCATTTTTGGCCCGAACGAGATGAAGTTTTTCAGCACTGTAACAGGTCAATTATTTTATCACTTTTTATTTTTAATCTGCTATGTGAGGACTTCATAATTTAGTGTTTATCATAATTTCCCCATTCTAATAAGGAAATATAAACTTGTGGTACTATCATAATATCGCCGGTTTCCTATTATTCCGTCGTTTTCTGTCCAAATAGAATATTCTCTCCAGCATCCTGTTCTCAGTCACCCTCGCCTTTAGATGCAGGATCAAGTTCGACATACAAGAGAACGGGTATACTTACATATTTGCACGTTTAGATAAGAGACAGAGGACAAATATTCTGAAGTGAATGGCAGTAGGCATTCTCCACTAACATTTTTGCTAACGCTCAAAGTTCGTCACATTTCCGTCGTCCCAGACCTCATTTCTTAGTGTGTGTCGGATAACACATTTCCTGTGTAAGGTCGCCGTGTTTCTGAAGGTACTTTCAGAAGCACTACAAACTGAGGTCTCAGTTTCCTTACGTTGAGGATTGCAGCCAAGGGAATACAGGCAATTCTGGACAATTGAAGTGAAATTATTAAGCAAATGTGTCTCTCGTCTGAAGTTAAATTCTGTTGCTTAAGATGTCTAAATACTGAGCTAGCAGGATAACCTTTGAAAGTGAAATTTCTATGGATCTGCAAATGCAGGAATGTAAATGCTGCAAAAATTAAACTTTCTTTAAACTTTTGCTTCAAATAGACCACCACTACACCTTCCCACGTCCTTTGCGACCTTCCAGTTATTTCAGATTCAAATCTGTGCTAGACCTGGAATGGTTTTATTGTTATTATTATTATCCTCAAGTTCATTACAATTATTCTCTTGCTCTTGAGGAGTTAAAATTGCACACTTTACGTACTAGGAGACATCGCCTTGATGCTGTCTTTCTTATTCGCGTTTATTTTGTCTCGAAATTCTGCCCTTCTCTTCTGGAAATTGTTGGTCTCCGAGTTCCTGCTCG